AAGAAGCAGTGAAATGTAGCAACATCACTGACCTGTTCAGGGCTTCAAGTGCATGTCAGTTTCATCTGTAAATACGCTACATAGTTTTGTCTCCAGAAATTGTGTTAATACACTACCAGTCAAAAGGTTTTGATCAGTAAGATTTTTATTGTTTTTTAAAGAAGTCTCTTCTGCTCACCAAGCCTGCATTTATTTGATCCAAAATACAGCAAAAACAGCAATATTGTGAAATATTTTTATTATTTAAAATTAATGCTTTCTAAAATGTAATTTATTCCTGTGATTTCAAAGCTGAATTTTCAGCATCATTACTGCAGACTTCAGTGTCACATGATCCTTCAGAAATCATTCTAATATGCTGATTTGCTGCTCAAAAAACTATTATTATTATTATTATTATTATTATTATTCAGGTTTCTTTGATGAATAGAAAGTTCAGAAGAACAGCATTTATCTGAAATAAGATAAATGCTGATCTTTGGATCTTTCTATTCATCAAAAAAGCCTGATGTATTCAACTGTTTTAAATATTGATAATAATAATAATAACAAATATGTTTCTTGAACAGCAAATGAGCATATTAGAATTATTTCTGAAGGATCGTGTGACACTGAAGTCTGCAGTAATGATGCTGAAAATTCAGCTTTGAAATCACAGAAATAAATTACATTTTAAAATATATTCTAATCGAAAGCAGGTACTTTAAATAGTAAAAATGTCACAATATTACTGCTCTTGCTGTACTTTGGATCACATAAATACAGGCTTGGTGAATAGAAGAGACTTTTTAAAAAAACTTTTGACTGGTAGTGTATATTTGTATGTAACATGGGTTTGTTAAATCTAGGGTATTTAAGTCATTTTTAGAAAAATTAACATTCTGTGCTAACAACGCATTGAAATGGGGTGGTTGTTTTCAACAAGGTGGACAAAGTTCTGTTCTAGTAGACCTGCTGGTGAAGAAGTGACAGGTAAGAAAAAAGACAGATATTGGGGAAAATGAAGAAAATGAAGAAAAGGCAAGTGAAGGTGCAGTTCAAGGCCTACAAATCAGTACCTTAAGGGTACAAATTACTACTCTAAGGTACTAATATGTTCCTATTAGGGGTAAAAAAGGTACAAAGATGTCCTTTTAAGAGTACTGCTACAGTGTCAAGCTGTTGTACCCCAAAAGGTACAATTTTGGCCCCTTTTTTTGTGTGACCTGGATGAGTGTGAGATTTCCCGGCCTGAAATTGCGTCCCAGTCCGGCCCTGATCATGAGACTTTAGGCTGTTAGAAATTTAAGACATCATTTGTTATAATTAGGCCCGTCAAAATTAGTGCATTAATGCAGGCGATTCATAAAATAAAATATTTAATGCAGTTAACGCAGGGGCGGAGCTAGGGTTGGCCACTCTCACAACTGCTGCTTCTGTCTCTTTTTTTTATTGAAAAGAATTGCGTTTATTTAGACGCGCAGAACGTCTTTATGACGACATCAAACGAGACTTTTCAGACACGCACGTTAACTTCGCCTCAGCACCAGGCGCAAGTCAAACGAGTGCGGAAAAGCTACAGGTGAACTGCGGTCAGATTAGATGTTGTCAGGACATATGTCAGTAAAAAACGAATCTTCCTGTCCTGTCAGCCATTATACTGTGCTCGTAGTGCTTGCTGTTCAATTGCATGGACAAATACGGTGACTCGTGCTGTAGCCTGCATCATTTCATATTAAAGCGCAAATGAAACTATAAGCATGTGTGTCAGATCCGCGTCACGTTCAGCAGCGGCAGTTCTTAAAGTAATAGCAGCCTAATAACCCAACTGCTGTGATGTCTGTTAATCAAAGAGCAAAAGAAAAAAGAGGAAATCAGTAACTTTTGTAGCTTTAAAGATTCATCTATATTTAATTTAAAATGTTGTGTTTGATAGCTGTTCAATTTCTGTATATTTCCTACTTGCTGAAGGGCACAGGTAAATATGATATTTATTATAATGGGTTTATGTGAAGATTGTTTTTAGTTCACTTAAATTAGAAGTTGTTATTTTTTAAAGTCTAATAAATTTTAAAATTTATAGCTCTCAATTATACTGTAATGTTGAATGGCTATAATCATTGATTAAATATATGTAAAAAAAGAACAATTACCTAGAGACATCAGTAGTGTATCAGTGATACTCACCTTCAGTCATAATAAAAAATGCCACTAAACATATTTTAAAAAATGTCTTTGTTTTTTATTGTCTTTATTGCAATATAAAATATATATTTAAAAACTTTAATGTTAGGTGAGATTAATCGCGTTTAATATCACAAAAAATGTCTTATTAATTAGTTAATTTTTCTTTTATCGATTAACAGCAGTAGTTATAATGTTTGCAAAATGCTATTAAAAAAACATGCCCTCAATTAAAAAAAAATGTTTCTCCAATAACTAGACTTAGACATGCAGAGTTGCAGTGAATATTCAGAATATGTGTTTACATGACTATGAAAATTCTGATTAATACAGGAACATGCCGTAAGGTTTTTCCTCAGATTTCTAAAAAACAGAATATTGGCTTAATCCGGAGTTTAGACGGCACTTAAATAATCAGTAAATGACCAATTAATATCAGAACATTTGTGTTTATGTAAACACAGCCAACGTCTCTCCAGTCCATAGTAAATGAATACATTACAGCAAGCATGTGAAAGCACCTGAGTCATGTTTAATCCATATTTCCCACCAGACAATTCCCTGAAATGTCTTCCTGCTCTGAGATGTGCTCTCTGGACCAGACAAACGGTATTTCTGGACAACCCCAGGAGGGGTAAAGCCCATGCGTCAGGGATACTGCTGGAATGAGGTAAGCTGGATGAGACTGAATAGAGGAGCCACTGTAAAAAAAAAATAGAAATAAAGAGTGGTGCTGCTATTCGACAGAATAAGGTAGAGTGGAGTGAAGGCAGGAGTAATGTGTCCTGTTGCGTGTGTGTGCAGAGAGGGGTGTGTGTGTGAGAGAGAGTCTGATGCTGCTGTTCCTGCAGTGGTCCTGTAGTCACCCTCGTTGAGCTGGTGAGCCGGTCGGCTGCTGCTGTTGCTGATACTGCTGCAGGAGAGGATTCCTATCTGATGCTGGGATAGTCACAAATACTACAGCAGAGAGAGGCGAAGAAAGGTAGAGGTTTCCGCTAACCTTCCTGGGTTCCCCGCTTTGTTTTTACGAGCACAGAGGAGGAAAAAGACTCTTCAGGTGTGAAAAGGAACTCGGAGAGAGGAGGCGCACTTGGCTGGACTGCACTAGGGGGCGAAGGTAGGGGATCTTTACTTTTTTGGGGAGGGGGGTTCACACGGGGCATATAACAATGTGTGTATTTGTGAAAGACATGGGACACTATATAAAATGGAGTAGTTGCTTGAGTTTATGTATGGCGGTAAGATTAAATCTAAGAGGTTGTATTAAGTCTGAGTTGTGTGGGTACACTGCAGGCACTGTGTCAGGGCTTTTAGCTCAGAGTGGGTGTATAAGCTTCAGAATGTGTGTGTGTGTGTGTGTGTGTGTGTATGTTAGTGAGGTTTTGCCTACATTTAAGTGCACTAAATGTACTCATAGATAGAAAAAAACAGAAATCAACTATATTGTTTGACCAGGCTACAGTCCCATGGAGGAAAACATCTAATTAGTTAATTAAGCATATACTTATTTAGATATACAACTAGTACTACTGCTAATTATTGCAATAATTAGTTATTATTATTAAAAATAATAATTAAAAAATAATTAGTATACAGTAAAACACATTTTTAAATAGTAGTAGTAATAAAAATAATATAAAATAGTGTACAGTAAAACACACTTTTTTAATTAGTAATGATCATTATTATTATTAATTGTTTACATTTTTATTATAAATGATTTTAATGAATTTAATTACAATTACATTTATTTTATGGTTATTTTTATTATACAGCAAAACAACAACTATTATAATTATCATTACTGTTATGAAAGGGTGCATTTTACTGTTTTTGTAAACAATTTTTGGTGACTTTTATTTATTTATTTTTTAACCAACAGTTGTCATCATACAAAGATATTTGGCTGCAGAATCAACCAATAGGGGTGTGAACCTACACTGGTCTCACGGTTCAGTTCGATGACAATTATCATGTCATCGATTCGGTTCAATTCGATATCACGATGCATTGACGATGCACTGCATCCTCAATTTTTGAATTTTAGTTAATGTATACAATTTTGTCAATAAATCCAAGCAGCCAGATATATGAACTGAACCTGACGTGGTTTCTCAAGTTAGTAGCATTATCCACTGCATATTTTATTTGTGTGTGACATGATTTACACACAGGCACAGCGTGTGTCTTCTCCAGGTTGTGCTTACCAGGTTGTTCGTAAAAGCCGAAATGTGCCCAGATGTCGGCATTTAAAGTAGTTGGAGCATTTTTAATTACTCGCACTCGTGTCTCGTCTCCCTCCGCCATTATATGCTACCGCGACAAAGCACGTATGCGACAAATGACGTCAGAAAAGCGTCAGTACGTTATAATCGGTTATGGTGTATTACTGAACCGATACCTAATCATCCTTGTCTGCATCACGATGCATCGTAGAAAGAAACAATTAATTTCGACACCCCTATCAACCAATCAGAATCTAGTTTTCCAAAGACGGTAATGTAGTAAGAACTAAATTAAAGGATGTGTATTTAGAATGTTTGCTTATGGTAGAAAGTGTGTATATGACTTTCCTTATTTTGGGAAGATACAGATAAACTTGAATGTAAAACAAAAGAAGTCTGTGTGGAAGTTTGTTTTATTTAAACGTTGCCAGATCAAATCTAGATTGTTGTGTTAATGCATGTTGCATTAAGCACCAAAATGTACTTAAGACTCACACACAAAATGCTTAGACCTACAGTATACACATACATAGCCAATTCTGCAATTGTCTCTCTCTCTTGCTCTGTCTCCTTCAGTTTAATGGAAGACAGATGGGTTGTTGGGTAATGAGAGCGAGGTTATGAATCTGAAATGCAAAAAGCAATTAGGATACACAAGGTCAGAAAAAAGTAAACTCTAGCAGTCGTTCCATCTGCTGCGGGTAGTGCTGAGGTGCCTGTGTATAAATGCCCTCCTGCATGTGTGTAATGGCATCGCTCCCAGCTGATTGATTCCTCTTACATGCTTTGTTGAAATGGGACATGGTTGGCTACACTCAACATGGTTTTTGTATCAGTGTGTGTCTCAGACACATCAATTAGTTTCTGTTGCAGTTCGCTCTGCTGTCTGTCAGCTGATGCAGCAGGTACTGTGCTCCACAATACACCAATACAAATGCACACATAACGCAATTTATGAAGACAGATTGTAAATATTCAGAGTTGAATATCCTCCACAAGGTCACGAATGGAGTTGAGGGGGAGGAAACGATAATATTGCTAGACTATGCAGAGGAAGAGAAACTAATTAAAGTGGGCAAAGTGTCATGTGGACGATCTCGTGTGTTTGCTCTGCCGATGATCTATTCTCATGCATGGAATCTCTTTTACATTGTCAAGGCAACCACATTTCAATATGACATCTCAGTGAGTCAGCAGAAACCAAGGCCTTGGTCCCAAACAACATGGTTGTCAATCTTTCTACGGCACAACGTGACTGCAGGAGCCTTCTGACAGATAACTTTACTGTAAATCCTTTTTGAAGATATTGCTGAATTTGGCCACAAAGTGCACTGTAAAAACTGATTTATGATCTTTTACAGACGACTAGCACAGAAATTCGCACAGTCAGTCAAATAAGGTAATTTAAAATTGAGATTGTGTTTTCTCTTCAAATGGTGCTGAAAGGGACAGAGTTGGTAGGTTAGGACTGGATATTGATACATATTCAGTTTGATTCTCTCAAGCTCTCATTTAGATTTGATTTTAAATTCAGTTTTTGTTTCATTTGGGTGTATTGCAGTCCATTTTGTTTACAAATGAAAGGAATTTTCCCTCTTCTAATGCTTTACATTGTACAGGGCAGAGTAGCAGACTGATTCAAACTGGAAACTCATCTGGCTCATTGGAGTCATTGTTTATGAATTGCACTACATTGATTGTTGATTGTGTGTTTTTTGTTTTTGTGTGCAGCCTGCAAGGACAACTCAATTTAAAGGTCATAATACATGAAGCTCAGAAGTAAACGAAAATGGTTTGTTGCTGTGTAATCTGTGTTCAGAGTCGCACTGGAATCAGGTCTTAGATGGGGACGATGCTGCCAGTATGGCCTCCTATAGACTGCAACATGACTTCAGACTTGAGTTCACCATTTCCTTGCCTAGGGCAGTTTTTCCCAACCACTGTGCCGTGACAGGTTGTCAGGTGTGCCGTGGAAAGTTATCATAACTTCCTATCTCTATTATATTTCGTAATTATTTTAAATCAGTGCTATTGGTCATCCTTAGGTCTATTTGTGGGTTTTACAAAGCATTTAGAAGAGCTTGTGACTAAACAGGGCAAATTAGCGCAAGAGCGCAATTCCAAAACAGCGCAGATGGGAGGGGAAATTTCTGCGGGTGATTTAATAACAATGCGCAAATTAAAGAACACAGACGCAACATCTCATTTAGATATCGACCAACGCAATATACCAAGCGCAGCGCAAATTAGCGTAGTCGCAAATAAAGAAATAAAGAAGCCACAGTATGTTGAAAAGAACCGGAGGCCAAAAAATGAAGGTTTGCTAGAAGTTTTGATAGACCTGGTATTGTGTGACTCCTAGTTGATGGCTCCAAGTCGTCTTTTATTTCCTGAAGCAAATTAAAATTAACATGGCTTGGCAAACAATATTTTCAGATAATGTGTTCTTCTGGCATTCAAAATAAATTAATACCTGTGGAAAAAATCCTCTCCATTCTACCACGCACTCTCTGTTCTCTGCGGTGCATCCTCCTAGCAACAATAATTGCAGCCATTTCAAGTGCAAACTAGTTTAAGACATGCTTTTTTGGCGTTAAATAATGGCGCAAATGCCAGTAATTTGACGAGCGCAAACGTTAGTAAATCTCGTTGCGTGATTCATTTGAATACTGTCCTCCCATAAATTTTGCATCTGAAAGAGAAACTCCTAGAAATGCATATTCAATAAGGTCAGGTGCAAAAATAACTGTGTCGTGCACAGTCTGGATATGAATCTCTGCTTGTTTGCAATGCCAAGATAAATAAATAACTGACAAAGTACAGTGTTTTCTTTACTTAAGAAACACTATGTCTATGAAGACAATTTTATTTTGTGTGTTTGAAGAGCTGAGACGAGTTAGCATTTGCAGTCTAGTTGTAGCCAATATACTTTTGTATGTTTTAAAAATCCTGTGCATAGCAGTTCATCTTTTATGAAATGAGATTTTGGCCAAATTTATTAAACAAGAAGAAAATCAGAGCTCCCATATAGCTACAATAAAATTTATAACTTGATGAAAGTTGATGAAAATGTAATGTGATTAACTTACTGCCTCAGATGCGGCCGTTTTAATGATGGACAACACATTGATCTCTGTCATTCGATGGTAAAAAATGTTAAGAGCAAGTGTCTGATAAATAAAGCCAAAATACATATAATAATACATATAATAAAAACCAGAATGATTGATTATTGAAGAAAAGAAAAATATAAAATATATACTGTATACTGTATATATATATATATATATATATATATATATATATATATATTTAGTCATTTAGCAGACGCTTTTATCCAAAGCGACTTACAAATGAGGACAATAAAATATATATATATATATATATTTATTTATTTTATTTTTATTTTTTATGCTAAATATTTCAGTGCTTAGTGGTGTGCCGTGGTATTTTTTTACTTATGAAAACTGTGCCGAGGCAGAAAAAAAGCTTGATCCATTTCATGTGTAGTTGCCTCTCAAAACTCAGACACGTTTGATATACTCCAACTTGAAAGAATCATAGTTTGAGGTTAAGAAATCAAAGTCTACAGGCTGGGTATTGGATTTCATGATTTGTTTTGATTCAAACTCAGATTCACAAGCTCTTGATTCGGTTCAGTATCAATTATTTTGGATATATATGAGGTCATGTCTATTTTGCTTTTTGAAAACATGAAAAAAAAATCTCTTTCAACTATTAAACAGTAAAGAGAACCCTGACAGTTGGTACATTACATTAAAATTAATAACTAAACTATATTAATATTTTAAACTATTCAATTTAAGTTATTTACAAATATTTACATTGCACATGAGGCAGTTTTATATATAATTATATCATTGATTCTACT